TGCCAACCATACTTAGATGTGTGTCATAAAATTTTTCAAGAAAATAATTTAAAAAAAGATTTAAAAAATTATTCGACAGTGTATTTACGACATAAATTCTTACCAAAAATTTTATTATAATGTCTAATATATAAATGGTGTTTTATTTTGGAAAATATTTTATCATTTTAGATATGACCACTATGAGTTGATAGGATCACTACAACAGTGGGGTGATTGTGACATTGCAATAATAGATATTTAAATAAAAACACATTTTGGGGGTTATTTTGATCAAACACATAAAATGTAATATTAATTACTTTATTTGATAAAAATAACCCTTTATTCTTCATTCAAATATATTGTAATATCACTGTCACACACTCCACTGTTGTCACAATAAACCATAGTGACCTTAAATATTTCTCAACACGATTTTACAACATATGTAATTAAAACGATGAGAGTCATCGCACGTAAATTCATATCAGCCGCAATATTTCTTTAACTTTCCATCCGATATAATTATTTCTCTCTTGTTAGATCGAAACAAAAGCTTTCGTAGAAGATAACGGTCATTATTCCACTATAAATGAGTCTCCGGAAATTGTATTTCGCTTTATGAGATCGCGGATATCGGCGTATTACCGCGATAATGCTAACTAAGGTCGTAAATATTCGACGGATATCGTACGTGGAAAGTGAAATCAACGAGACGCGCTAGTAACGGGTCAATGCTCCTTCACGCGTGCATGGATAGGAAGATTCCACCGCGATGTGCACGTGACAGGTCGCAAGTATAATGGGCATACAGGAAGAGATGCATAATGACACAGTGTTGCGCACCTGTACAACGCGACGTGACCTTATCTCGCGGAAAGTGTTGGTCTGACTTTTACCTACATGCGTACATGGCCGTTGCATCGTGACGCGATTGTGTCAGTCCGACTTTTGAAGCTGTTTTTGAAGTACACGCACGAATACAGCTTTTACATAATCATAATTACTGTACTAATCTCAAAATTAGAAACATCATTCTGTAGCTTAATTCTTTGCGGACCGGCGATCCCGTTTCAGATCACATCTTCTTGATATTTTATAAACAACTGTTCAACTTTTATAAAACTTGGCGTAATTACTATGGAGTAATTTATTAGTGCCTTATTGAAATCTGAGATAAAAATTAAATTTAAAATGATGAATTTAATGGCGAACGCAACTTTAAAAAATAATTTGATTATCATGAAACTTAATTTTAGAGAAAGTTTTTAATTGCACAATATAACATCAAGTTTCCAGTTTCGTTTTATTCGAAAGTTATCAGTCTACGTACACTGTTAATACTGATTTCCAAACTGTCTTTCAAACTGTGATTATTATGAACTCTGTAACACTAGAGATCCTCCTTCATGGAGATTATTATTCCTTTGAAATTCGATATTTTCATGCTACACATTCAAATTCGGAGATACCAAGAACCTCTTGAAATTGAATTTTACAGCATTTTTCACTGATTTAGATTTTTTTTTTATTTGAATTTTAGAATTTTGAAATCAGAATCGAATTCGTTGAAAACTTTTAGAAAGCAAGATTATCTTCCATAAAGTACTTTATTAAAAAGTTCTTGTTCTCAAAGGGTTAAAGACGAAAGGAACAATTGAATACAGAGCAAAAAGGGCAATAAGTACCAATAAGATAATAAAAAAATAATTAAAAAATAAAAATATACGTTCAGCACCAAAACAACAATTGTGCAATTTAACTTTGTTAATCTGACAAATCCTTCAACACTAGAAGTATCAACGTTTCTTACTCACTAAAAAGGGACCAAGTGAATAAAAAATTACAGAAATTAAAAGATAATAAAATACCAAATATTTCAACGGTATAAAAGACATAATTATTGAGAAGTCAAAACATTCGAGAATTATATTTTTGATACAAGAAATATAATTCTCTAAATATTAATTTAAAGAAGAATAGAAAAGGTCAATAATGACTTAGTACTTCTAATGTTAAGTATCATCTGTGTCGGTGAAACCTATTACAATATTTACATGAAAACTGAATGCGCTGAAAAATCTTTTGTGCATAGCTAAGATCTTGTTTACAGATGAATACACGTCCAAAGAACAAGACGCGCGGTTAATGCAACGTAGAAACTTATGGGGACCGACATTCCAAAAGTTTCGTCGAGTGCCACGGAGGCATTTAACAACTGTTAAACTTTCAGTCTCGAAAGTTAAAAGTTTCTCTGTCGCCGCAGTCGGCACTTTAAACTGAATCTTATGCGATTCATATCATTGCCGTGTGAAATGACATACTTTGGATGTCTCGCTCTCGACATTTGACATTATCTTTGCCCAAACTCCTTTCAATCCCCTATTCCATTCAATCCCCTATTAGTAATTATTGCGTAAATATTTTTCGTGTCGAACAAAAATCTGTACACTTCTTATAATATTAATCGAAGCACTTTATTCAAATCCTTTTACTGTGCATAGTGGTAGTGAAATTTCGGGATAATGAAACTTAAGTACACCGCGCACTTATCCAGATTGCGCTTCCGCTTCCTGTAACGCACGTATCCCTCATATACATGCACGGTACTCTAAAAAAGTTACTCTAAGAAATGTTGGCAAACTCAGCGGAGCGGTAGGATAGAAATCCTATCCTACCATAACCGCCGTAATGCGACGACGTTCTAGCTGGACTATCACGGGATATCGCGAATCGTTAATATATGCGTTCTTGGGTCATAATTATACGTTCACGACGGCAAAACACGAGGAGAGAGAGAGAGAGAGAGAGAGGGAGAGAGAAAGAAAGAGAGCACAGCATCAAACTTGAGAGAATGGGTCAATGGTCTGTGAATCGGTGGCAAGATAGGAGTTCGCAATAGTCGTTTCGTAACGGTTACGTGGTCGCGTTGCACTTCATGACACGCCAGTATACCGACCTATTATCCCATGACCGCGAGAACGGAAATGTTTTTGAGAGTATGTGTGTATCGAAACTGCGCGATTCACTACGCAAACTCTACTACTCTACGCACTGGCTGTGCACGAGTGAAACGATTATTTTAGACATTGTCACCAAATCGAGATGGCTAAGGATTATTTGCTTTGCTGTAATGGGCGCGAGAAAGGCAATAAAAATAATTGTTTTATGAATCTGTAAGCACTTGCTGTTTGCGTGACAATAATCCTATATCAAAATAGATGACTCACAATACAGTCGTGAAGCGAAACTTTCAAGTGGAACAAAGTTTTACTCATTAATTAGAAATCTTCATAGAAAGAGTGACTTTCCTAAAGTATCTAAAAATTTAGCTAGATACAGATCTAAAAATAATTTTATTGAATTGCCAAAATAATTTTATAAGATGTTCAAGCATAATGCTAAAAAAATTTTAACATTCTAACAACTGGTTTAAGCGTCTTACATATATTTAATGTCTAACAAAATTGTTATTTATATCTAGCTTTTTTAGATACTTTAATAAAACTGTTTTCCATGTCGTAATTTTAATTGAGAAAAATTCTAATATATTTTAATTTATAACATACATGAAAATAAATAAATTTAATTTTTTTTGCTTTAAAGTAAAACGTGTATGATACGAAGTAGTAGAACAATCGTTTATTAGCGTACAATGTACCACTTTATGCAATGCTATTCTGACATTATGTTTTACATTAGCTACTACGGAATAATTGCCGTTTGGAATAGCGATATCTTTGCTTATCATGTTTCCAGCTATTATAATCTTAACGCATTACCTTCCGCAGTTGCGCGAGAAGACATTAAAAGATATAGTAGAGATTATCTGCAACGTCCCTAAATTTCTAGAGTGATATCTTGAGAAATAAATCGAAAGTAAAAGAGTATCAGTATTTTACAGAGAATAATACAAATAATAATAATAACTATGTAAAATTCGCCATCTTGACTTCCATTATTGTAGCTGTTCAAGATATTACTTGGCAATATTGAAACTCGCGATGGAGGTTTCACGTTAGACCATACACCACTCTCGATTTGAGTAGATACTTCGGAAACGGCAATGTGATCATATATTCACGATGTAAGTGTTTAAGGTACGGCGTTATAGTAATTTTAATGCAGATTAAAAATAATATCCGCAAAGGGGGGCGACGGTGGCAATTATGGATAGAAACTATTCTCGCAAGAGAGGTAAATTGTATTGTTCTTTTCACGACGTAAGTAAGCGACAGGTAACCCAAGAGCATCGTACAGTAACGGAAGTATTACGCGATGGTCGAGCTAATTTCTGCCACCATTTGAAAATTAAACGGCAGAGAAAATATTTATGAGCACTTTACTAAATTAGCTCTGGTAAAGATCCCGGTGTGCATTGTATAAAATGCGTAGCGGATTGGACGCACCCATTGTAAGCATGACGACAAGACGACGTCTGTAAAAACCGTATTTATTCAAGCGAATTGCGATCGTAGACGCGCGAATTAATTATCACGGGAAAAAGAAATTATGGAATATATTAACTTAATTACACATACAGACTTTTGTTTTCACTAAGCGAGAAAAATATTTTTCTCCACGATTTTAATATAATCTTATAACATATGTTACAATCCAAGGAATTAGAAGTCTGTACTAAACTAAAATACATTAAAAATACTTTTTTCTTCGCATATATATCGCTGGGAAATTGATTTTTAATCGGAAAATTGATGTTTAAAATTTGAAAAAGAAGATTATTAAAGCTATTTCTCATTTTAATATCTTGATAAATTTTCCACGTCACACGAAATCGGAAGCACTCGAATTCGCGAATAAATCAAATTATAGCTGAGCATTCCTCTATTTTCGATTGCTCGCAGGAGATTGCCGCTTAAGATAGTTAGCGGCAATTCGCTGTGCTGCGAAGTGAATTCGATTTATACCCCGATATAGTCGATCCGTAACTCTCCGTAATTTCGTGCCCGTCGACAAATACTGTTAAATTTCGTGGAAACATGTATGTGCGAACTCACCTGAAGACGCTCTCGTCGTAAGATAGCAGAATGCGTACTGGCTGGCTGATGCTACGTTTCTTTACTTCGTGCGCTGGCTCGATGTGTACGTCGCGAATTATCTGCAAAACAAAGGGGGAATTTGATTAGCGTTTGCGTAGAATATCAGAAATACCATGTAGAACATCACGTAATTTCTTTGATTAGAGTTTAATAATAAATATATATTAATAAAAAAGTAGATCGTAAAATATATAATGATCGAAAAATAAACTAAAAGTGTGCTCGAGATATGCCACAATTACATATGTGCTGTTTACACGAATAGCAAAATAAAATAAACGCAATACTGAATGCGTCATATGTTTGGAATCATACTGATCGAAGTACTTATACAGATTTATTCAATTTTTATAAATAACGAATTTTATAAATGTACTTCTACTTTAAAGAACATCCTGAGATATTATTATCTTACTGATACGGGATTATTTTCATTCATAATTGTACAATTGTTTTTATAATTGACTTTGATGCCATCATTTTGTTTTCGCAAATTCCTACTACGCTAAAATCGATTGAATAAACGTAATAAAAATAGCAAATTTCTGTTCTTCCTTAATATTTCAATTAATACAATGCTCTCTTGGCGAATTATTAGCTATTGCACTTACAAAGAACACTAGGCAACTCAAAAATTCAAAAAATTCTGAAACTTTGTGTGCAAGTAGTTTATCCGTAACACAAAACTATTTTTTGTTTGTGCGGAATTGCAGTTTTAGGAGTTAAAACACCCCTTTGAAAAAAAATCGATTTTTTCTTTTTGAAGCGAATATCGTCGAAACTATAAAAGATAGAAAAAAATTCCAGAATAAAAATTGAATGGTTTCAAGAGTACTTTAAAATTATAATAAAAAAATTTTTTTTTTAATTATTTATTTATTTTATATTCCTTCACCTTTATTTTAAGAAATTTTTTATTTTTATATAACGGAAATTAAAGAGCTCTTTAAACAACGATGTATATTATAATTATGTTCCGAAAAACTATTTTTCAAATATAAACGAAAACGTTTACGTATACGTTTATGCTTCGTACATATTCGTTTCATATCGCGTTGACTGCGCGAAATAACGTGAAAGGCAAATACAATACAATCCATCAGCATAGTATTAATACAGCAGCAACTATTGAAATAAGAGGGTTTATACAAATAATAACAACAACAATAATAATAATAATAATAATAATGTGTCAAATCTAAAACTAATCAAATATTTTTATGATATATGTAAAGAAATGTACAAAATACTTGAGATAATGAAAAACAAAGTATGAATAAAGAAATTATTATTTATATAAAATATCGTTTATTTATTTTTGGCTTTTGATAGATTAGCTAGTCTTAATGTACTTGAAAAAAAATTATATCAACAATAATTCCGCACGAACAAAAAATAGTTTTGTGTTACGGATAAACTACTCTATTTGCACACAATGTTTCAGAATTTTCATAATTTTCCAGTTGCCTAACCTTCCTTGTAAGTCCCTGGGCATATGTTGCCATGGCAGAAAGAAATTGGAAAACTAATACACATTTGATTTGCAAATAGCACGATAAATAGGATGTTGTATGAAACTCTATTTTTTAAGGTTAAATAATGCAGAATAACATTGATAATCTTGTCTAACGTTTCGATTTACATTTGATAATGCGAATGTGTTTGATTCCCGATATTAACATATATTAATAAGATCATCATTATCAATAATCATTAATAAATGTCTCTAATATATATTGATAAGATTATCTCTATAACAATATAATAATGTAACAATATTTAAATCGTAATTTATATGAATTTTAATCATTTTTTGTTTATTCAAGGGGGAAAATTCATTTAGAAAGCCGAAAAATATAATATATGATTTTTAGGAATTCTTTTTCAGTTATAATAAAAAAATTACCAATTAAAAAATTTAGAGATGTTTTATTCATTATTTAAAATGTTAAAAATGATTTTTATATTATTAAATATTAATTTTTTCTTTAAAAAATAGAACGATGTTTGTAGCTCCTCGCCGCTGACATCTGTCGACTATGTACAAGGTAACGGTCGTTCGTTAATCTCGAATAAAAAAACCAAAGTTTTTCTTTAATTTTATAATTATTTTCAGGATGTCCTAAAATAATTTTTTTTTTAAGTAAAACACTATTTTTTTGCAATAAAATGTTTCAGAATTTTATCGTGAAAATCGCAATTTCTTTTTGAAGTATTAAATTTTTTTTGTTTTACTCTAATTTTTTAGTTTACCCAGAAGAATAATTATATAAAATTGAAAAGCTTTTTTTTTTCAAGTACATTAGAACTAGCTGTTCTATCAAAAGACAAAAGTAAATGAACGATATTTTATAAAAATAATAATTTCTTTATTCATACTTTGTTTTCAATTATCTTAAGTATTTTATTTAAACAAAAGTATTTGAAATTGGCTCTTGAAATATTAAAACAAATAAAAAATAGAATAAAAAACGAGCAATTAAGAGCCTTAACACGCGGTAATTGGTGCGAATATCATATACACATATATTTCAATTGTATTTATTGATCTATAATATACAAAACTGTAATATACAAACAGTTTTATATATTACGTTATAGGTCAATAGATACAATTGAAATAAATATGTATATGATATTCGCACCAATTACCGCGTATTAAGACTCTTAATTGCCCGTTTTTTATTTTGTTTAATTATATTAAGTATTCCTTTACACATATATATCATAAAAATATTTGACTGGTTTTAGATTTGACACACTATTAT